CAGGTCCACCTATCAGTCTCCCCGGCCAGAATGTTTGGGAAAGAATGTATTGCAATGCGATCTGCATTATATTAAATTTAGTGGAGCAGAGGGGAGACATCCAGGGTCCTTTAGACACTGGATGTTTCCTTGAAGAGAACCTTTCACCAGAAAATCATCACATAGAGGACAAAAAAAATTATATTTTTTTCACACATATATTATCCCCCCCCCCGATATGCCCCCCCCACACACCCCCACATATACAAACATAAATGCAAGCATCAGGGGCACCTATGCATTAAGTTGATTGCGATTCTCATGTTATATATTAACACCAACGCAGGAGTGAGAGCAATATTTCTAACACCAGACCTCCTCTGTAACGCTAAACTGATGACCTATAGGGGGCTTTAAAAAGCTTTGCCTATGCAAATTATAGGATACAGAAAGTTGAAGCAATTTCATGGGTGAATGCAGATTTAAGGTTTGACGTGTTAGGTATCTATTTACTCGGTGCAACCTTATCTTTTATATGTTACCAAAAAAGTGGCTAATTTATTGTGTTGGTGTGCCCTATCATTAATTTTAGTGTATTTTTACTGACATTTTGTGTTTCCTAGACTTTTGCGGTAATATTGTATGAAATAAAAAAAATTGTAACTACCACTATTATATTCTCTAGGGTGTCTGGCTTCAGAAAATATACAGTATAATGTTTTGGGGTTTTATGTAGTCTTCAAGAATAAAATTATTCAATAAACATGTATGCAAAAAATGCAAAAAAAAATGGCTGAATTCCAGATATGACAATTTGTACTTAGTTACATCGATCCAGCTTGGACCAATGTAAGTATGAACTGTTTGTGCTGTTCCTGGGGGGTCCCTATGGAAAAGAAAGCACTGTAGTAGGCACTGCTACTATCATGATTGCCACTAGCTTCTGGGTCTCATGTTGAGTGGCCACTCTGTTGCTTACTAAACACACTTTCCTCAAAGAATGCAAAGTGTTCTCTGATTGGAGAAGATGGAGATTGTGATGTCACTATCCCACCTCCCCACCTTGTCCAATCAGCAAACGCTTTGCATTCATTTGAAAAATGTGAAATGTTTCCTGAATGGCACCCATGTCAAGCAAGCAACCTCCTGTGTTCACAACTTACAAAAAAGGAGTTGCACAAAAATTGCTACTAACGTGTTTTTTTTCATCTTATGGGTCATCTGCTTTCAGAACATATGTAATGTTTAGGGCTTTCAGATGCCTTTCAATGTAAATAAAATGCACATGTTAGTGTGAGAAAAACAAACAAAAAAGAGCTCTGGTGGTGAAATGGTTAAATAAAAGGTATGTGTGCGTGAAAAGAACATCATTTTTTTTTTACTTACAGAAGTATACAGAGTATCACTTTAGGCTCGTCCTCATTTTTCCTGTCAGCCTCTCTGCTGAAATAGCAGCATTCAGTTACTGACGTGTGTCTTTTTGTGGAAACGTCGTCTATATACCTTTACACATTAACTCGGCAGCGGGGATCCCTTTAGATTAATTCCATGGAATTCTCAGAAAATGTCACAGCGCTTCTCTCTGATAATTGCGCTTTCACAGGTCGCATAACCATCTCCTCCAAAATATACATGTATATATTATAAATAATGAATAATGTCTAAGCGTCTGTTCCCCGTCGGAGGGTGACGTGCCCCCCTTGCCTTTTCTAGAGAGGACTTCAGTAATAATTTAAACGGGACTAAATGGATCTTCTGTGTCCTGTGATTTCATGTGGGCAGATGAGCAAGATACAGTGCATTCAATATAGCCTTTCACCTATTACGGAGTATTAAATTTCGTCTCTGGGGTGAAGCCATCTGTTTCGGCTGCCGGTGGAAATAACCATTTTTATATAATATATATGTTCCTCTCTGATACTCGCTGCAAAGGGGACTTTGTCAAGTGAAAGAAAGACATCTTTTATTGAATGCGCGGTTTAAAGCAGACTCTGCCATACCGCTGATCCGAGAAGGAGTTCTGTTCATTTGTATTCTAGATTTTAGCTTTAACAGCAATATTTCTCTACACTTATTTCTGACGGATTATTCTCTTTTTTTATTTGACTGATGGATTATTCAATATGCTGAACCACAGAGCATACAGTAAGCTTTAACAATTTTTTCTTTTCAATCTAATGGCTGCAGTTTTGCAATGACTACAGATATACACATGCTACTTTTTAACAAAAAAATGCAAGATACCGCTTTATTCACTCAAATGGTTTTGCTCCATTTTATCTCACTAGCTGCCCAAGCCAATTCAGACATTTCTTTCAATTCTTTAAAAATCTGTATTTTTTGTTTACTAATTACTTAGAACCCTCAAACATGGTATGTTTTCTGAAAACAAAGGTCAAGGAGAAAAAATGTTTACATTTTTTATATCACACGATAATTGCGCAGCGGTTTTTCAAGTGTAAATTTTGTTGGTAAAAATACACTTTAATGAATTTTAGTGCTCACAAATGCAGTATAATACCTCTTTTTTGTTAAATATAAAAGATGATGTTACACCGAGTAAATAGATACCATGTTTTAAAATTGTGTACGCTCATGAAATGGCAACAAACTATGCTAATTAAAAATCTCCATAGACAATGCTTTAAAAGCCTTTACAGGTTACTAGTTTCTTTTTACATTTCTTTTATTTAAAAAAAAAAGTGTTTTACACTTTCTCTTTCATTTTTTTTAATCAACACTATTGCTATCACAAGGGATGACCAACATCCCATGTGATAGCATGACAGGCAGTGGTGTCCCGAGGCAGGTGTGGGGGGTGCGTGCTGCACCAGGTGACACCTACCGCACGGGGTGACACCAGACCCACTCCACAAAAAGGTAATTTGTAAAGCAAGCCGATGATCCCCGCAGGATGGATCCGATCCATCCTGCAGGGATTGTCGGCTTTCTTTACAACTTACCTTTTCGTGAAGTGGGTCTGGTGTCACCCCGTATAGGTTACATGCCAACGATCCCTGCAGGATGGATCAGATCTGCATATTGGGGAGCATAATGGATTGGACTTCGATCCATTATGCTCAATCTGCAGATCTGAACCATCCTGTGGGGATCATCGGTATGCAACCTATACGGGGTGACACCGTACCCGCTCCACGAAAAGGTAAGTTGTAAAGCAAGCTGATGATCCCCGCAGGATGGATCAGATCGGTGGATTGGGGAGCATAATTGATCGGACTCTGATCCATTATGCTCAATCCGCAGATCCGATCCATTCTGTGAGGATCGTCGGATGGGGTGACCCGCTTGATGAGAAGGTAAGTTGTAAAGCAAGCTGATGATCCCTGCAGGATGGATCGGATTAGCGGATTGGGGAGCATAGCCGATTGGACTCCAATCCATTATGCTCAACCCACAGATCCGAACCGTCCTGCGGCGATCGTCGGCATGCAACCTATACAGGGAGACACCAGACCCGCTCCTCGAAAAGGTAAGTTGTAAAGAAAGCCGATGATCCCCGCAGGATAGATCGGATCTGCGAATTGGGGAGCATAATGGATCGGAGTCTGATCCATTATGCTCAATCCGCAGATCCGATCCATTCTACGGGGAGCGTCGGAGGGGGTGTCACCAAGTGTTATCGCACCGGGTGACACCAACCCTAGGGACGCCCCTGATGACAGGTGCTTTTTTTAGACCCCAGAACTCTCCTTTGCCCTCAAAGGCATCTGATCAAACCAAGATTTGTTTGATCAAATGCTGTTACAAGCCGGTGTTGGCTTGTAAACAACAAACCAAAACCGGAAGTGACAATCTTTGTCACTTCCGGTGTGTCAGAGACTATAGAGAGATGATCGAGGAACTTCCATCCTGAAAACGCCGGTTTCAGTTCCCACAGGAGAGCCCAGGAAGGTTGTATAGAAACCACCTTCTGCCACATGTTAAAGTAATCCAGTGGCTGTATAGCTGCTGGATTAATTTTTTTGACTTGATAGAGAATCACCGGCTGAAAAAAAGATACCGCTGTCATGACTGCAGTTGCAGCCATGACCCTGATATAACCACTGAAAATCGAGGACGTACGGGTATGCCCTAAGGGTGGGGAAATGGTTTTCAAGTTGAAGAAAAATTAAAAGCACAATTTAGGGCTCCTTCACATGTGCAGAAAAAGTGCTGCGTTTAGATGCGTACAATGTCTAAACGCAGCAATCAATGAGATCAGGTACACAGGTGCATGTACATGCGGAAATATGCACTGGGTTTAGCTGCACAGAAAAAAGTAGAACACCACTGCATCCAGGGCCACACGTCTGCAGTGTTTATGTGCGTCCATTACCCAACGGATAAAATTCAAAATATTAACAATAATGTATAAAGCCATTTATAACTCTGCCCCAAATTACATCAATGATCTTGTCTCTAAATATCACCCAAACCGTACTCTCTGCTCCTCACAAGACCTCCTGCTCTCTAGCTACCTTGTCTCCTCCTCCCATGCTCGTCTCCAGGACTTTTCCAGAGCTTCCCCATCCTCTGGAACTCTCTACCCTAAATTTATCAGACTATCGCCTACTCTTCTCACTTTTAGGCGATCTCTGAAAACCTATCTCTTCAGGGAAGCCTATCCTGCTTGGAATCTTCTTCTACTCTTCCAACCAGTCCATCCCCCACAGTTACTACCTTTTGTACCACTAGCCCCTCCCTCCTAGATTGTAAGCTCCAAGGAGCAGGGCCCTCACATCCCTCTTGTATTGAACTGTATTGTTGCTGTATTGTTTCCCGTTATATTGTAAAGCGCTGAGCAACCTGTTGGCGCTATATAAATCCTGTATAATAAGAAATAATAATAATAATATTGTCATAAAATAAAAGGCAGGCAAGAATAAAAGGTGAAATGAATAACAATGTTAGTGATACACTTAAAATTCAGGGTGATTATGAGTAACTGAGCCAAGGTTTTACTAACCAGCTTAAACTGTAACAGAGTCACCTAGGGTCCCATAAGGGCAGCTAGAAACAGCATACTGCCTTGGAGTGACTTTGCTAAGTCCAAGTTTGCCTGCTGCACTGTTCAGTCAGGTGAAAAATTGCTACAAAAATCTCCAAAGTGAGGAAGAAAAGAAATAGTTATTCCTGACGGCGTGGTTGGGGCCCTTTCAGTGGTGCTTTTATGGTGATGCTCTATAGCTTCCATATTCTTCTCCCGTTCATGAAGGTAAGGACATGAGGAAGAGCTCTCCCAGAACAAGGCTTAACAGTAATGAGAAGGGAAATCAGCAAGTGCAGGAAAGGGTTAAGTGGATCTGAGCTAATTGGGTAATCCAGCACAGGTGATGTGGCACTGCTCAGTGGTACGCTGCATAAGTATGGTAGTGTCTAAGGAACTGGATGGTAAACTGTGTTAGCTAGAGTTTTGCTTGGTCTTGTGGTGCAGTGTTTGGTGGGTTGGCAACCCTCTCATCAATCCTGTGCTTTAGCTGCGGGTACCGACAGTGGAAGGGCCCCTTGTGGAATGGTGGCCTGAGCTCCAGTGAACCCGTTCTGTATGGTTGCGGGCGCAGATGATGACCAGTGAACCTGCTCTGTTTGGCTGGGGATGTAGATGATGACCAGCTAGCCTACTCTGTAAAGCTGTGGACGCAGATGATGACTGGGTAACCCACTCTGTAAGGCTGTGGATGTAGATGGTGACCAGCTAACCCAGTCCTTAGGGCTGTGGATGCAGGCAATGACTGGATAATCCTCTCTGTAAGGCTGTGGATGCAGGCGATGACTGGATAACCCAATACTTAGGGCTGTGGATGCAGGCGATGACTGGATAACCCTCTCTGTAAGGCTGTGGGTGTAGATGATGACCAGCTAACCCAATCCTTAGGGCTGTGGATGCAGGCGATGACTGGATAATCCTCTCTGTAAGGCTGTGGATGTAGATGATGACCGGCTAACCCAATCCTTAGGGCTGTGGATGCAGATGATGACTGGATAACCCAATCCCTAGGACTGTGGATGCAGGCGATGATGACTGGATAACCCTCTCTGTAAGGCTGTGGATGTAGATGATGACCGGCTAACCCATCCTTAAGGCTGTGGATGCAGGCGATGACTGGATAACCCTCTCTGTAAGGCTGTGGATGTAGATGATGACCGGCTAACCCAATCCTTAGGGCTGTGGATGCAGGCGATGACTGGATAACCCTCTCTGTAAGGCTGTGGATGCAGGCGATGACTGGATAACCCAATCCTTAGGGCTGTGGATGCAGGCGATGACTGGATAATCCTCTCTGTAAGACTGTGATGTAGATGATGACCGGCTAACCCAGTCCTTAGGGCTGTGGATGCAGGCGATGACTGGATAACCCTCTCTGTAAGGCTGTGGGTGTAGATGATGACCAGCTAACCCAATCCTTAGGGCTGTGGATGCAGGCGATGACTGGATAATCCTCTCTGTAAGGCTGTGGATGTAGATGATGACCGGCTAACCCAATCCTTAGGGCTGTGGATGCAGGCGATGACTGGATAACCCTCTCTGTAAGGCTGTGGATGCAGGCGATGACTGGATAACCCAATCCTTAGGGCTGTGGATGCAGGCATGACTGGATAATCCTCTCTGTAAGACTGTGGATGTAGATGATGACCGGCTAACCCAATCCTTAGGGCTGTGGATGCAGGCGATGACTGGATAACCCTCTCTGTAAGGCTGTGGATGTAGATGATGACCGGCTAACCCAATCCTTAGGGCTGTGGATGCAGGCGATGACTGGATAACCCAATACTTAGGGCTGTGGATGCAGGGGATGACTGGATAACCCTCTCTGTAAGGCTGGGTGTAGATGATGACCAGCTAACCCAATCCTTAGGGCTGTGGATGCAGGCGATGACTGGATAATCCTCTCTGTAAGGCTGTGGATGTAGATGATGACCGGCTAACCCAATCCTTAGGGCTGTGGATGCAAACGATGACTGGATAACCCAATCCCTAGGACTGTGGATGCAGGCGATGACTGGATAACCCTCTCTGTAAGGCTGTGGATGCAGATGATGACTGGATAACCCAATCCTTAGGGCTGTGGATGCAGGCGATGACTGGATAATCCCTCTCTGTAAGGCTGTGGATGTAGATGATGACCGGCTAACCCAATCCTTAGGGCTGTGGATGCAGGCGATGACTGGATAACCCTCTCTGTAAGGCTGTGGATGTAGATGATGACCGGCTAACCCAATCCTTAGGGCTGTGGATGCAGGCGATGACTGGATAACCCAATACTTAGGGCTGTGGATGCAGGGGATGACTGGAAACCCTCTCTGTAAGGCTGTGGGTGTAGATGATGACCAGCTAACCCAATCCTTAGGGCTGTGGATGCAGGCGATGACTGGATAATCCTCTCTGTAAGGCTGTGGATGTAGATGATGACCGGCTAACCCAATCCTTAGGGCTGTGGATGCAAACGATGACTGGATAACCCAATCCCTAGGACTGTGGATGCAGGCGATGACTGGATAACCCTCTCTGTAAGGCTGTGGATGTAGATGATGACCGGCTAACCCAATCCTTAAGGCTGTGGATGCAGGCGATGACTGGATAACCCTCTCTGTAAGGCTGTGGATGTAGATGATGACCGGCTAACCCAATCCTTAGGGCTGTGGATGCAGGCGATGACTGGATAACCCTCTCTGTAAGGCTGTGGATGTAGATGATGACCGGCTAACCCAATCCTTAGGGCTGTGGATGCAGGCGATGACTGGATAATCCTCTCTGTAAGACTGTGGATGTAGATGATGAACAGCTAACCCCATCCTTAGGGCTGTGGATGTAGACAGTGACTGGCTAACTCACTCTGTAATGCTGTGGATGCAGGCAATGACCGGATAACCCAATCTGTAATGCTGTGGGTGTAGATGATGACCAACTAATCCACTCTGTAAAGATGTAGGCAATGACCAGCTAACCTGTTCTGTAAGGCTATGGATGCAGGCAAGTAGGCTGCACAGGTGGGGGAGTGCCCTAGGGCTCAACACTCTCCCTGGACTTCCGCTTCCTTCCCCGGTCTGCTACAAAGTCCCAAACTGTTTCCAGGCAGACAGACCTTTGTACGTTCCTTAAGTCTCAGAGTTTATCTGGATTTGTAGTTCAGAAAGTCAATTCCTGCATTATACATATGCTGTTTTGGACGATATCTCCCATGATCCCAAGTGATCTGCATTACTGTCTATGAGATTTCTTGGTTAGCTCCCCTGTTTCCTGATTTGTCCTTTGCTCTGCTGCCAGGAAAGGAGAGGCGAGCAGGAGAAGAAGTCTCACACAGAGCCACAGCACAGCCAGCATGAGAAGAGGATTTTACACAGGCTGCTCTGGCTCCCAGCGTAGCAGTGTAGACAGGGAGGGGAAGGCAGAAGAATCAGCATCTTCACAGAACAGCAGGAAGCCAGCTGCACCGTGTAGACACACTGTCCTAAACTGGGGCTAATGGTTAAATCTAGCTTTGCAGGTGGTAGGTAACCTGGCTGATTTGTAGTCTATTTGATCATTTGTGTTTCCCTTAAGTCCAGTGTAGCTGTAGTTCCTTCCTTTTACCAGTAGGTGTCTATGGTACCACTGGTATTAGTAGGATGAGCTGCAGTGAAATTGGTTTATGACTATTCATCCCCCTCCTAGCCAATCAGTAGAAGTTTCCTTTCCATTGGTGCATGATAGGAGGTATTATAAATATTTGGGAAGGCCAAGTGATCAGGGACCTCCAATCCAGAACTTGGTCTGGTGTGGGTGTGTGAGGAACAGCTGTGTGACTGGTCCTGAAGCCTGGGGCCTAACATGTGCTCAAGGCTCTATAACTTGGGAGCCTTTCTGAAGGCACAGAAGGAACTGATAACCTGAGATGAAGTACCAGAGGTCACTCTGCCATAGGGGGGAACTGTGTATAACCTGGGAAAGTGTCAAGATGGACTCATCCACCCAATTTCTGTGTTTACTGTAAGTCATGGTTGAGGAGGAAACACAGCAACAATTATGTTTAACATGCTCAGCCTCCTGTGTGTCAGAGCCCCAAAATAACCCTGCCCTCAGTTTCAGCAATGTTGTCGCCCTGCTACAGGAAGTCGAAAACCAATGGATCTAGGGGCGCAGTATCAATGGGTAATAAACTATCTTAATGGGGTTGGGAGCCTTAGGAAAATGTAAAAAGTCTGAGGTAATGATATTCACAAACTGGACCATACATGCCATGTCTTTTGGCCAGAGTCGTGCTTTAAGTGGTCTCCAAACTGCGACCTGTGGGCCAGATGTGGCCTTTTGCTTGCCTTTTTCTGGCCCTTGGGGGAGCATTTCATCCACTGACAATAATGGTAGGGGACTATTCCTCCCACTAAAACCAGTGATGGGGTAAATATCATAAAATACGGGATATATGGTTAGATCAAGCCTCTTCATGTAATGAGAATGCCATGACCACGTAAAGTGATGACTTTTTTTTCATACTATGCTAGTTATATGTTTTGACTGTAATGGTGTTGATGCTACGCCAGATGCGTATTGATCGGTTTTATTCTTGTTACACCAGCAGTCTGTTTATTATCATAGTCCTCGTGGTTATATACATCCAGGTACTTTTTGCTATAGTACTTGGGTTTTAAACGATATGTTTATCTGCAGAATGTAATTTTCAATGTGAAAATGACAGTTTTTTTCTGTTTGCTCTTTTCCTTTTTTTAATGTATTGTACATGATGATCCCTTTCTCAATAAAGAAAACGTTTAAAAACAAAAAAAATGATGGGGCCCCTATTCCTCCCACTGATACCAATGATGGGGCACTATTCCTCTCACTGATACCAATGGTGGGGCACTATTCCTCCCACTGATACCAATGATGGGGCACTATTCCTCCCACTGATACCAATGATGGGCCCTATTCCTCCCACTAATACCAATGGTGGGGCACTATTCCTCCCACTGATACCAATGATGGGGCACTATTCCTCTCACTGATACCAATGGTGGGGCACTATTCCTCCCACTGACACCAATGATGGGGCCCTATTCCTCCCACTAATACCAATGATGGGGCACTATTCCTCTCACTGACACCAATGATGGGGCACTATTCCTCCCACTGATACCAATGATGGGACACTATTCCTCCCACTGATACCAATGATGGGGCACTATTCCTCTCACTGATACCAATGATGGGGCCCTATTCCTCCCACTAATACCAATGATGGGGCACTATTCCTCTCACTGACACCAATGATGGGGCACTATTCCTCCCACTGATACCAATGGTGGGGCACTATTCCTCCCACTGATACCAATGGTGGGGCACTATTCCTCCCACTGACACCAATGATGGGGCACTATTCCTCCCACTGACACCAATGATGGGGCACTATTCCTCCCACTGATACCAATGATGGGGCACAATTCCTCCCACTGACACCAATGATGGGGCACTATTCCTCCCACTGATACCAATGATGGGGCACTATTCCTCCCACTGATACCAATGATGGGGCACTATTCCTCCCACTGATACCAATGATGGGGCACTATTCCTCCCACTGACACCAATGATGGGGCACTATTCCTCCCACTGATACCAATGATGGGGCACTATTCCTCCCACTAATACCAATGATGGGGCACTATTCCTCCCACTGATACCAATGATGAGGCACTATTCCTCCCACTGATACCAATGATGAGGCACTATTCCTCCCACTGATACCAATGATGAGGCACTATTCCTCCCACTGATACCAATGATGGGGCACTATTCCTCCCACTAATACCAATGACAGGGCACTATTCCTCCCACTGATACCAATGATGAGGCACTATTCCTCCCACTAATACCAATGATGGGGCACTATTCCTCCCACTAATACCAATGATGGGGCACTATTCCTCCCACTGATACCAATGATGAGGCACTATTCCTCCCACTGATACCAATGATGGGGCACTATTCCTCCCACTTATACCAATGATGGGGAACTATTCCTTCCACTGATACCAATGATGGGGCACTATTCCTCCCACTAATACCAATGACAGGGCACTATTCCTCCCACTAATACCAATGATGGGGCACTATTCCTCCCACTGACACCAATGATGGGGCACTATTCCTCCCACTGATACCAATGATGAGGCACTATTCCTCCCACTTATACCAATGATGGGGAACTATTCCTTCCACTGATACCAATGATGGGGCACTATTCCTCCCACTAATACCAATGATGGGGCACTCTTCCTCCCACTGATACCAATGTTGGGGTACTATTCCACCAACTAAAACCAATGATGAGACATTGTTTACTCCCACTGGTAAAGGGAACTTTTTGTATCACCACTGTCCATAGTCTGGCCCCCCAAAGCCTGAAGGACAGTGAAAGTGATATTAAGGCAGGGTTTTAAAAAAAAATAACAAATATGTCATACTTGCCAAAAACTTTGCAAAGTGCAGCCCTGATCCTCCTCTTCTGGGGTCCCCCTGCTGGTGGTCCTGGCCCCTCCCTCCTGCCGAGTGCCCACAGAGCAAGCAGTTTGCTATGGGGTCACTCATGCAGGTTCACTCCCGAGTCGCTGCTCTGCTTGTCCATACGCACACAGAGCTGTGGCTCACCTTTCCCCCTCTCTCCTGATTGGCTCACTGGCTGTGATTGACAGAAGCAGGAGGCTACTGCCGCTGTCTCAGCCAATTAGGAGGGAGAGTCCACACATCGCGATGGGGCACAGGTAAGTATTAGGGGGGCTGCTGCACACACAAAGTTTTTACATTCAGGCATAGAATGCATGAAGTTAAAAAAAAAAAAACCTGGAGCCTTTACAACCACTACATCTGGCCCTTTTGTTTTATAAAGTTTGGCGACCCCTGCTTTAAATGAACAAAAATTGATCAACAATGATGGAGTGTCATGGTAACCTAACAATCAATTAATTTTTTAATAAATCACCCTACCGAAATTGAAAAAAAAGTAGTAGTGCACCAAAACCGAAAATTCAGAATGCACTTGGCCAAAAATCGAAACAAAACCATAATGGGCAGTTTTTAAAAAATATATATTATTTCATATATATGTAGCACTACCCCCTCAGGAGTTCCTGAAAATGTGGGTCCCTCTATAGTTCTGCACAGCCAGGCAACATGTATTTTTCACAGACTTGCATTCCAGAGACAGCAAACAGTCCTTGAGCTTGGTTTTTTTTAGCTGTATTAAGGGTTGAGGGCTGTATAGGATGCCCAAGGAACAGTAAACTGCGGACAACTTCCTGGCAATGATGTACAAGTCCAAGATAGGAAATTCTCTTCTTGAAGAACTCTCCAGCCTCTCCTGGTGTATCACCCCAGACCCCAGGTGAATCCTCTTCTCATCCACCTATCTGGAGGATATCCCTGGGCAACGGGATCTAGTGGCTGCCATTTTAAATTACACAGTCCTGGAAAAGGAGCTAGTCAGGTTTCCCACCAGAATGCCCTCTCCCTTGTCTGGCCCAGGGGGTGCAGGATTACTTACTCAGTTCTTTCATGTGTGCTGGCTGGGTTGGTGGATGCCTTCAGGCCTCCTGCTGGGCTGGCTCTATCCCTGGCTCCACAAATGGTTCTCCCTCTGGGGACTGATGGGGTGGAGTGATCCTCCTTTCCTGGTCCCGGCCTCTATGTAGGCTCCTTCCCATTGGGCCCCCTCCCAGGCTCCTGCATCTCGACCATCCTCACATCTTCCGTTCAAACTCTCCTGCTGCTGCTGAGCAAGCTCAGTCATACTTAAGGGCTGTCCTGAACCCATGCCAAGCCTCCTGCCTGGGGATTGGTCAGGAGCCCTTAAGTATACAGATGTCAGGGCTGGGTTCTGGCTACTTAACTAGCAGCTGTTTTCTTATAGTGCTCAGAAGCTGCTCAGCTGTTGGGTAATTACCAGCTACTCATTGCCTCCACACTGACACACCTGGATACCATTACCTGCCTCATTAGTCAAGCCTACAGCCAGGCCTTTTTGCTTTTTTAGCAGCTTAGCTCATTTCCTCCTTCCCCTTGCGTTGTCTATTATCTGCAGTGTGTTCTTGCCTGTGTACAACTCAATTTGACTGATTTCTTTCGATTCCTGTTTCTGATTTTTGGCTCCTGACTACACTGACTTCTGTTTTCCTGACCCTGGCGCATCTGATTACCCGTTCTGGCATCCAAACCTCAGCTTCTGTTTTGACTACGTTCCTGAACTGTTATTTTTTTATATTTCATTAAAGGTGTGATTTTAATTTCACTTTCTGTCTCCACCTGGTTTATGGTTCCTGACAGCAAATCAGCCCCTCCTCACCCCCGCCCACTGCTTCTAGAATCTTCTCCAAGTTTCTAGAGCAGGAGAGGTATCAAGGAACTGATCTGCAGAGCCTCTCAGCCCTGACCTAAAATTGACCTTCTGACTCAGCCCAGGCTACTACTCAGCCTTTATAGCTAAAAAAAAAAGAGAACTACTTAGCTCCCCCTAGCTACCTAGAGGGGAGCTACATATAATTGTATTATATTCAACTTTTTAATCAATATCATGAATTTAAATGAATGTGAATTTAACAAATATAATCCAGTAACTTAAAAACGTGCAGCTAATTTTTTTGGCCATTATTGGCACCTTTTTTTTTTCTGTTTTTTTATCAGCATAACGCAGATAACCCAATAATTTTTGGAAGGCTATATAGATAGATAATAGATAGATAGATAGATAGATAGATAGATAGATAGATAGATGATAGGTGCATCACTAACAAAAGGCTAAACTCATGTGACCATTGAGCCGTTTGCCTGTTGATTGGGTCTGGCGCCCAGAGGCACTGGTGGTGGCAGGGAGGGTGCAGTTCCCAGCTTGAGGATGGAGTGAGAGATCTGGGCAGATGGTATCAACAACAATAAATGGCTGACCACAGGCACATTATTTTTATAGCACCACTTCCTTCTGCAGTCTGGCTCGGCCACTGATAGAGATAATGGGAATAATGTTACTGCTTCAGTAAAAACCCAAGGTTATCGGAGGTCACAGTGAGTTACAGGCCATATGGAAGCAGCAGGCTGAGTGCTTTATGGAGGTCATAGAACTTTAAAGGCAACCTATGGGTCCTTTTTTATAATAGGGGCGTGTTATCCTTTAAAGGGAGATTGCACCTTTCCAATGCAGAAGGCAAAATAAAAAGCATATCTGATTCTCTCTTTCCCCCTAACGTTTTATTCAGAAAGATAATATGCACAATTTTGAAAAAGTGACAGTTGTTTTCAGATGTGTCCAATAGGATTTAAAAAAAATGACAATCACATAGCTAAAATAAAGATTTGCATCCTTGTATTAAAGCTTGGGGAATTAGCTTACTAGATGATTGATATCAATGAAATAAGTGATGAAGCAAACGGTTGCTCTATATTTGCAAAAGTATAGAAGTATCAAACAGCAGAATCCAAATTTGGAAATCTGAAGGAGATTCACCTTTGTACAGAATTTCAATTTGTGAGATTTTTACAATTGTGAGATTTCAGCCAAATGTCGCCATTTTTGGGAAATACATCAAAGCCAATAGGAGCCAAGGCCAAATGACCATGGTGATGGTTATTATTATTATACAGGATTTATATAGCGCCAACAGTTTGCTCAGTGCTTTACAATATAACGGGAGACCAGGGGCAGACTGACAACTCATGGGGCCCCTCGGGCAGTAGGGGATCATGGGGCCCCTGTGTCCTCGCCCACACTCAAACCACACCCAAAAAAGCCTATGAAAGGTACCAGGGACATCTCATGGGGCCCCCTACTGACCCCGGGCCCTCGGGCAGTGCCCAAGTTCCCCAATGGTCAGTCCGCCCCTGCGGGAGACAATACAGCAACAATGCAGTTCAATACAAGAGGGATTTGAGGGCCTGATCCTGGGAGCTTACAATCTAGGAGGGAGGGGCTAGTGGTACAAAAGGTAGTAACTGTGGGGGATGGACTGGTTGGAAGAGTAGAAGATTCCAGTATTAGCTGAGGGCAGGATAGGCTTCCCTGAAGAGATAGGTTTTCAGAGATCACCTAAAAGTGAGCAGAGTAGGCGATAGTCTGATAAATTGGGGTAGAGAGTTCCAGAGGATGGGGGAAGCTCTGGAGAAGTCCTGGAGATGAGTATGGGAGGAGGAGACAAGGGAGCTAGAGAGTAGGAGGTATTGCAAGGAGTGGAGAGTACGGTTTGGGTGACATTTGGAGACAAGATCAGTGATGTAATTTGGGGCAGAGTTATAAATGGCTTTATACGTTTCTGTTAATGTTTTGAATTTTATCCGTTGGGCAATGGGAAGCCAGTGGAGGGATTGGCAGAGAGGGGTGGAGGACATGAGTGGAGGTCAGTAGAGGGATTGGCAGAGAGGGGTGGAGGACACTGAGTGGAGGCCAGTGGAGGGATTGGCAGAGAGGGGTGGAGAGGGACACTGAGTGGAGACCAGTGGAGGCCAGTGGAGGGATTGGCAGAGAGGGGTGGAGGACACTGAGTGGAGGCCAGTGGAGGGATTGGCAGAGAGGGTGTGAAGACACTGAGTGGAGGCCAGTGGAGGGATTGGCAGAGAGGGGTGGAGGACATGAGTGGTGGAGGGATCAGTGGAGGGATTGGCAGGGAGGGAGGGGTGGCAGATACAGAACGGTAGTAAAGGTGGATGAGTCTGGCAGCAGCGTTCATGATAGACTGAAGAGGGTGGTTTTTAACCTCTTCCTGCCAGTGGTACGCATATATGCAGATCAGAATGTAAACAGATCTGTGCCAAGTGCGCGTGTCCTGCGTGCTTCCAGCACAGTTACTGGTGGCTAATCGAAAGCACACTATCTCTACTTGCGATCAGGAGCTTTTCAATCATGTGACCACTGTGACAGCCAATTATGGCAGTCACATGATCAGAAACCATACCCCACCTCCTGGCATCAGAAATCTCTTAAAGGGTCGAGAGGCGGCGGCGCGAAGGGGTTAAGGGCCCTTTCACACTGCTCCACTAAAAAAAACGCATATGCCTTTTTGGTGCTTTTTTGTGTTTTAGGCGCATTTTCTGGTTGCCTGACTCCAATCATGCACCTGTGAAACATCGACTTAAAAATCACACCACAGTGCGTTTTTGATGCGTTTTCCACTCATTTCAATAGAGAGGTGCATTTTGGAAAAATGCAGCATGTAGGACTTTGAAAAGCACACTGCACCCGCAGAGCACATTGGTGTAAAGTGTTCCATCGGATTTAGTACCCTTTCACACTGATCAGTTTTTCAGTTACAAAAAGAAGAAAAATGCATGAAAATTGGCCTACTTAAATCCTATGAGACACTTCAGCTGCATTTCAGTTGCTTTTTTAAGCTTGCTGCATTTTTGGTGCGTGTTTGGTGCATGTTAAAAACCGGCACCAAAAGCGCTTCTCCCAATTTGAAATGAATGAAAAACGTATCAACATGCACCCGCGATTGTGTATTTGGTGTTTTTTTTATGTGTTTTTGGGGCATTTTCTGGTTGCCTAACTTCAATCATGCACCTGTGAAACATCGACATGTGACTTAAAAAGCACACCACAGTGCGTTTTTGATGCGTTTTCCACTGATTTCAATAGGTAGTTGTGATTTTGGTGCGCTTTTTCAACATGCACCAAAAATGCAGCATGTAGGACTTTTAAAAGCTCACTGCACCCGCAGCACATTGGTGTAAAAAAAGAAGAAAAATGCATGAAAAATTGTCCCCTTTAAATCCTATGAGACACTTCAGCTGCATTTCAGTTGCTTTTTTAAAAGTCCCGCTTGCTGCATTTTTGGTGCGTGTTTGGTGCATGTTAAAAACCGGCACCAAAAGCGCTTCTCCCCATTGAAATGAATGAAAAACGTATCAACATGCACCCGCGAATACGTTTTTGGTGCAATTTTTTATGTGTTTTTGGTGCATTTCCTGGTTGCCTGACTCCACATGTAAAATGTCAACATGTGACTTAAAAAGCACACCACAGTGCGTTTTTTATGTGTTTTCCACTCATTTCAATTGGGAGGTGTGAGTTTGGTGAGCTTTTTAAATATGCACCAAAAATGCAGCATGTAGGACTTTTAAAAGCGCACTGCATCCACAGCACATTGGTGTAAAGCGCTCCATATGATTCAGTACCCTTTCACACTGATCAGTTTTTCAGTTAAAAAAAGAAAAATGCATGAAAAATGGACCCCTTTATATGCTATGAAACACTTCAGCTGCATTTCAGTTGCTTTCTGGTGCGTGTTTAGTGCATGTTAAAAACCCACACCAAAAGCGCACCTCCCCATTGAAATGAATGAAAAACGTATCAAACGTGCACCCGCAGTTGCTTTTTTGGTGCATTTTTTTGAGTCACATGTTCAAATTTCACAGCTGGGTAATAAACAGCCAGAAAATGAATATGCCTTTTTTTTTAATGCATTTTTGCAACAGAGCAGTGTAAAAGCAGCCTTAAAGGAATACATTTTTTATGCTTTTTTATTCTGCTTTTTAAACACCAAAAGCACATCAAAAACTCATCAATACGAAAGGGCCCTAAGGGTGCAACAGGATTTAAATGGCTCCTGAGGGCTCCTTTCATCTATCCTGGACTTTAACTGTGGCATAAAACAGTGCTTTTTCTTACAAACAAACGTAAAAAAAAAAAAGGTAAATTATAAACTTAAGCTGACGCAGTTATAAAAATGACAAAGAAGGGGAAAAAAAAAAAAAAAACAAAAGAAAAAACATAATTTACGGGACATGTTTATAAAACAATAAATCCGACATTCACCAAATTTCTTTGTAGGTGAATCTTCCAGATGCTTGTTTTTTAAATGAAAGTATTTGGCTGACCACCAGAAATAATTTGGTCAAAGTCACATTAAGAGCTCTTTCCCATAGGTGTCCACGGGGTTGGTAAAAACAGGTGGATGAGTCGCGGTTTTCCACCCTCCAGCTGCGCACCCTAATTCTAACTTTACTGCCTGAGGGGGACTGTACACATGTAGCTTTGCTGCAGCGTTTTTAACTTGGGATACAGAGTTATGACAGGTGGCACCATTTGTCAAACCCGCTCATTAAGATCAATGGGGCCACGCCGCAGCTGGAAGCTAAACGCTCGGCTCGCGGTGCTTTTTTTTTTTACTACAAAGTCCCCCTTGGGCTTAAAAAAAAGGTAGACATTCAGTAGGCAGCAGGATTGGCTTCTGAAAGCTTGCCAACAGTCAACAATTCCTGTTGACATCGTGGTGGTCTGGCAGTGACCAATCAAACAGAATCACCTGACGATTTTCAGAAGTTCTGAAACGCGTCAGTGATTCTATTTGATTGGCTACTGCCAGACCACCACGTGGTCAACAGGAATTGTGGAACATTGTTCAGGTGTACATTTTGCTTTTGGTTGTTATATTATTACACCAGCCGCAATACATGTGTCTAGTACATTAATAAAGCTTGTATTGATGTTTTATACTACAGTGTTTTCTGGCGTATAAGACTACTTTTTATACTTAAAAATATACCCCAAAAATTGGGGATCGTCTTATACGCGGGGTATAAAATGTGAACCTTGAGTTTGTTTGGGTCAAGCTGGCTGGATGTGCAGTAATGTACATACAGTATACCGTGCTGAGCCAAGCTGGCTCAAAACAAATGTCCCTATGACAAATTAATCTGTCAGCCCGCTGGATCTGCGGTATATACAGTATACTGCGCAGTTTCAAGACATACCGGTACGTCCCTACGGTAATCAGCCCGCTGGATGCATGCACGGTAGCTGCGGCTACATACAGTATACACTGGGCCAATCACGGCGAGCGATGTAATCTACTAATGAATACAAACCCTGCTCGGATTGGCTGAGTCAGAGAGGTGGGCTGATGATGTCACAACCTCAGCCAATCCGAGCAGGCTTTGTATTCATTAGTAAAATACATCGCTCGCCGTGATTGGCCCAGCGTATACTGTATGTAGCCTCAGCTACCGTACATACACGCATCCAGCGGGCTGATTACAGTAGGGACGTACCGGGACGTTTTGAAACCGCTTGGCTCAGTATACTGTATATACCGCACATCCAGCGGGCTGACAGATTAATCTGTAATAGGGATATTTGTTTTGAGCCAGCTTGGCTCAGCGCGGTATACTGTATGTACATTACTGCAGATCCAGCGGGCTGTATATATACTGTATACTGTATGTAGCCGAAGCTGCCGTATTACCGCGCATCCAGCGGGCTGTATATATAATGTATACTGTATGTAGCCGAAGCTACCGTATTACCGCACATCCAGCGGGCTGTATATATACTGTATACTGTATGTAGCCGAAGCTGCCGTATTACCGCGCATCCAGCGGGCTGTATATATACTGTATACTGTATGTAGCCGAAGCTGATGTATTACCGCACATCCAGCGGGCTGTATATATATATTGTATACTGTATTTAGCCGAAGCTGACGTATTACCGCACATCCAGCGGGCTGTATATATATTGTATACTGTATGTAGCCGAAGCTGACGTATTACCGCACATCCAGCGGGCTGTATATATATTGTATACTGTATGTAGCCGAAGCTGACGTATTACCGCACATCCAGCAGGCTGTATATATAATGTATGTAGCCGAAGCTGCCGTATTACCGCACATCCAGCGGGCTGTATATATATTGTATACTGTATGTAGCCGAAGCTACCGTATTACCACACATCCAGCGGTAACCATCTGATTTGGAATTTGATCCATATGATGACTCTTACAAATGTATCACAAGATGTCATTCATGAACTTATGATGTCAGAGGATGAACATGAGGATTTTGAAGGATTTTAAGTACCGGTAAGTCCTAACCATTTCAATGAAAAAA